GAGTAGTTGATGGTTAATTTTAAACCAGACATCTGCTGAGGGTAAAGATGCAACTGAAGTCCTAATTTTTCAGCAGTGCTCTTCATGAATGGAGTACGGGGAAGGGTGGGGGCACTTGGAATTGCTGTGTGCAGGCCACGTGCTCTGAGAGCCAGGGTGTCTGTGTCCTAGTCCCAGAGCAACCACTAAGAAGCTTGGACCTTGGACCACCCATCACCTCTTCATCCATTGCCTCGTTGAAAATGCGAGCTTGCGCCAGTTCTCAGAACCACACTTGGGCATTCACGTAGAAATGTTTGGAACTGTGAGAAGGGCCAGCCTGTATACTTTGGTGGTGTTGCTTATGAAAGTCAGTGAGACAGATGGACTTTGTGAGTACTTTGTTTCATTGCCTTTTGCTCCATCACTGTCTGAGGTTGGTTAGCACACAGTTCCTTTCTCTTGAATTGCTGAAAGCGGACAGCCCCTTGGAAAAGGCTGACCTTGTTACTGTAATGTCATGGAATATCAGGTAAAAGGTGATGAGGGCCAACAGGACAGTGCTTTTCTGTATGGTATATTTCAAATGGTCTTTGGCCTTGTTTCCTGAGATGCTTTGGTAGCATTTCAGAAAGTACCAGGCCAAAGTTCATACCTCATTTGTGTTTAAATGTGCTGCTAGATGGAGAGGCCGACTCTAGCCAGTAAAAATGACTCACTCCATGCATTGCATCATTCCGACCAGCTGTGATGCCCATCGAATTTTTCTTTCAATGAAAAGATGTGCAAAACCACTACTGGTTATTGAATTTGTCTCTGAATGAGAGAGGAAAGCTTCTGGCTGTGTTGTAATTACAGCTCTTCACACGCCTCTGGCCTAATTAAGATTTGCTTTACTCCAAGGAAGGGGGAAAGCACATATGGTTTTGCAGTGTGCTGCTTGTATCTTGGTGACTTAGAAAAGCCAAGTAAATAATGCTCCCTTGGCAGTTCTTGGAGCAGTTGGTGGTACGGAGAATTGCAAGTAGTGTCAGGCTGTTTGCCATGACTTCCTCTTTCATGCTAGTGCAGTCCTGCCCTCTTGGGAGCTGATTCTAAGAAGGCAGGTGCCCACCTTGTCCAGCCTCCCCAACCGTCTTGCCCTGCAGCATGGTGAATTTCTGGGCATTGACCAAAGCAGTTTGGCGGAGAGAACCTGGGCCTGAGTGCTGAAAGGAAACTGCCTGAGATGCCTTGCCAGAGTGTTGTATCTTCTGCTGTGCTGCTTGTGGGCCAGAGGGAAGGTCCTTGCTTTGCTTTGAGAGCTGTAGGGGCCATGACCCTTGGGCAGTTGTGTTCCTCTGATGGGGCTGCAGGAAGCAGAACCCTCTAATGCTGGCCCATGGATGGTGGTTGGGTAGAGTCTTGGGTGACCCAACTTTAGCTTAGGTCTTTGGTTTTCATGTGTTATTTTATCCCTGCTGATAAATATTTGAGAATTTCCACCTTGCCATCATGAAGTCTGATAAGGAATCGTTTTCCTCTTGTGAGTTCAGATGCCTGTCATCAAACCCAAGCCCATTAAAGTACTTTCTGGTATTTTAATTTCTCCATTTGCTAAGCAAATAAGGAAATGAAGCCCCCCCTTCACTTTGCTGCTAATGAAGCATGAGGTTTAGATTCTGGGAAAATAAGTGCAGGGACTTGATTTTTGTCATTAGTTTCACAATACTTGTTTAGCACCTCCAGTGTGGGAGTTGCTGATGGTGGACATCAGTTGCCTCCTCTGAAAGCTTACAGAGCAACATAAAATGTTCCACCAGCCGAGGCTGAAGGGCAGTATATTGAGTAATATACAAGTCAGACTTCAGGCTACAGTGCTCAAGGGAGCAATCACAAAGAAATTAGAATTTTTACTGAACTCTGAAGGATGGAAGCTGGAGATGGGGTCTGTGGGTACATAGAACATTGTAGATACCCTCCTTACCCAGCGCCACCTCGCTTAGCACACAGGCTGAGACGTAACAGGGTGAGGCCCAGCTTGGAGCCTGGGAAAGGCTCAGAAGGGAGGAATGAGGTGCAGTAAGGGTGGTGAGGGGGTCGATTGTGACTACCTGAACCTGTGCCTCAGACCTGGGCCTTCGTTTTGAAGGCATTGGTGTATTTCTGAAGGGGTTAGACGGAGCTAGTGGCCCCTGTGGAGGTGGGCAGTGGCAGCAGCAGTGGCAGTGGGGCAGTACTGCAGCATGGTGGCAACCCTTTGTGCTCCCCACTGTGGAGAGCAGTGTGGGCTCTGGGTGTGTAGCCTGCAGTGTGCCTGGCTGGTCTTGCAGTGGCATGAGGTTCCGCATGTGCAATGCAAAGACAGCGTTTTAAATGGGGACCTTTTCTTCCTCATTTACCCGGGGCATGGAGGAAGGGCAAATGGAATTGTAGGTGCATTAACTTAGAGTCAAGGCAATCCACCTGAATTCCTTCCCCAAAATGATACCTCAAGTCAGGAGAATCCCTTCTGTACCTGTCTTTGGGATCAGGATGCCTGCAGAGTTACAAGAAAAGATTTGTCCTCTTCTTTCCCAAAGAACAACTTGCTTTTCACCACACTGAATGCTACCAAATGAAGTCTTCTGACCCACCCGTGCCTGACACACACCAGCCATTCTATTATAAGTTGATAAAAAGCAAAACCAACTCAGTACATACATCTCAGGACACTGCAGACCAAGTGACAGCTGGAAAAAATAGTGATGGCAGATCCTAGAAGAAAAAAATTTTGCTGTTATTTTGAGATAGCGTCTTGCTATGTAATTCAGCCTGGCCTGAAACTTACTATGTAGTCCAGGATGGCCTTGAACTTGTGGTGATCCTCCTGCCTCAGCTTCCCAAGTGCTGAGATCACAGGTATGCACCACCTCACCAGGCAGAAATATTTTTACGATAGTAAAATTTCAGAAGATAAATCATGTTAGTACATTTTTAACTGCACAAATTTATTTTCATGAACACATACTGTTAGCCCTTGAAAATTGAACATGATGTGTCTTTTTCCTATCTCACTCTCAAGCGACAGAAGAGCATGTCAGTGGAAGGAATGGCCATGAGCCCAGATGGCACTTTCTCCACCCAGGTCTCCTGAGGACACCTGCCTGCCTCCAGGCCCTCCTCCTGGTCCACTTCCCATTTGGGCTTTGTCTTGAATCTTGAGACTTCTGCTAGATCTGCATCTGACCCACTTACCTGGCTGTGGTGTAGAAAAGGGTACCGGACTGTGGAGGTGCCTGCCTTCTAGCTAATAAGTCACCAGGGGGTGCTGCTCAGTGTTCTGCAAGTGCTGACCCCGGGGTCATTGCAAATGGCTACAGAGAACCATTGGAGACCATTTAATCCAACCTCGCTCTCCCCTGTGGAAATGCAAAGGCTGCAGGAATTAGCTGGCTTCCTTGGGCCCTGGGCCTCCCACTCAGGTCTTCCTGATCCAAGGCCTTTAACACCACACACAGTGCTTCTCAACTTGGTCCAAGAACGCCTAAAGCCCTGCGCTGTTCTGGGGCCATGAAAATCACGTTAACTCTGTCTGAGTTTTTTTATGTAGAAAGTGACAAAGCAAAAGGAGAACAGTAAACGGAGTTCAAAGAAAACAGATGCTGAGCCTGGCATTCAGTGTGAGGGTAGCAGCTGCACCCACAGCTGGTGCTGACTTAGGGTCAGGCTGGGTGGAAAGAGCAGCATGCCTGCAGACCTGCACCTGAACCTGCTGCTCCCCGCACCTGGCGCCAGGGCTCAGGTCTGTGAGGACAGCTGACCTCAGTAGCATCCTGGGCTCATTAACATCTCCAGAAATCACTGGTTGGCAGCCCACTCCTGTCTTGAAGTTGTACAGCATGAAACCACTGGCTCAAGGTCTTAGTTTCCCACTGGAATTACCTTGAGTTTTGTAAGAGGCCCCTCAAGGTTCCAGTTTCGTAGCCAAGGGTGAGGCCAGGCATTGGTAATGTTTTAAAGCTCCCGGGGTGATCCTGCCATGCAGCTCAGAGGGGAGCTACAGCTTTAAACTAGTAGCTTTCAGCCATGGTTACATTAGTCAGAATCACCTGTGAAAACAAACCGCTGGGCTTTGTGCCCGGGCATTTCTGTTCACATGCTCCTGGGTGGGGCTGTGACTCTGACAAGCTCCTAGATGGTATCATTGGTGCTGGGTGCAAACCACTCTGAAAACTGCAGCATTCGATTCTGAGGAGCAGTGAGCTGCAGTTTACACAAAGCAGCATTGCATGGGTGTTAGGAGTACAGGGCTGGCAGTGTGGAAGTACACAGGGTGGTCACATTAAAGCCACCCAGACTGCCACGGTATGTCCTTGGCTCATATTGGCCATTCATCCCCAGTGTGTGCTGAGGAAGAAACAGGCCCTCTGCCGACTAGGGGTAACTGGGCAGTGACCCAGCGCTTGCACCCCACTTCTGGGGCCTCTCACCACAGTCCCTGTTCTGCCACAGGTGAATTCTGATGCCTGGGCACCATTTCCACAGTCTGCTGAAATCTAATTCACAGCTCCAGTGGATGATACAGAAACAGGAAGGGATGAAGATGAAGTTGGCCTAATTACCCCAAGGCCCACATCAGTGGTTCTCAGAGTGTGATCCCCAGACTGGCTTGTGAGACCTCATGCCAGACCTGTTGGGTGAGAAGAGCCCCTGGCAGTCCACATCTGCCTTGTACTTGCTGCACCTTCGCAGGGTTTGATGAACCCTGCTTTCAGGGGTCGGGCCGGGGAGTGGTGCACTGAAGATCCTGCAGAGACAGCCGCGGGTAAAGGAGGAGCAGCCAGGAAGACTTCCGGGTCCTCTTGCTACCAGCGAAGTCAAGGCTCAAATACGGAACTTTTTTTTTTCTTTCTTCACATTTCTTAAGATTACTCATTTCTTAAAGCAAACTTGCCTCAGTACAGCGCAAAGTAAAAATTCAAACTCCAAAACTAGTGAAGTTGAATTGCATTGGGCTTCACGTGGTTCTGATACTGTGAGTGTTTCTCCTTCTTTTTCAGTTAGTGACAGGAGTATGGGAAGGAAGATACAACTTCTTCTGCCAGGGCACACGCAGCGCTGGAGAATCCGATATGAAGGTACTGTCTCTTCTTAGTAGTGTTATTAGGTAAATGTTGCCTTTTGTGCTTTTTAATAGAGAAATTTATACAAAAAATAAAATGGACCATAATCTCTCTACCCAGGTAATCTTTGTTGACATTTTAAAAACAATAAGCAATATATCCAGTGTGAGAACTTGAATTTGAAAGGCATAAAATGAAAACTGAAGCCTCTCTGTAACGGTTGATGGAGAAAATGGCATTCACTTACCATATGTACAAGAATGAGATCATAAGGATTGTATCTTACATTTTAAAAATCACTCTGAGCTCTCTGAGCAGTGGTGTTACAGAGAGAATCCAACTTCCATGCTGAGGTGTTACTTTGTTTTGGTTCCAGGGAATGAACTCAGGACCTCATACTTGCCAGGCAGGTGCTGTGCACTAAGCTAAATCTTCAGCCTGATACTACTTTGTTTTTAAATAAGAAGCTGACAGTCCAAGCTTGGCATGGGCAGGTGTCTCACCCACAGCGGCTGGACATATTAATGGACAGGGACCAGGTGCTGCAGATTCTGCATCCCTTCTTTCTGTGTCTTAGGTCACCTGCCCCACGCCCATCCGTGATATCAGAGCTTCTTTCCGGCGGTTTCTCACTAACAGTGACTGTGAGGTTGTAAGCCGTGAGCTTCTGTTAGAGTGCTTAAGAGTGTCCGTTGTCATTTTTGTCCCCTTTTCTTTGCTTAAAGGCAGTCACAGAGACCGGAGCCCACAACACATAGAGGGGATTAGAGCCAGCAGTCTCTGGCTTCCCTGGGTTGGCACTGGATCCTAGAATGTCAGTGAAACACATCAGAAGCAACATTAGAGATGCTTTGAGGGTAAACTTAATCTTCTGACCCCTTTCGTACAGATTATCCGTGTCCTCTGGTGGTACTACTTCTCCAAACTCATAGAATTCATGGACACCTTCTTCTTCATCATACGTAAGAACAGCTACCAGATCACAGTCCTGCACGTCTACCACCACGCCTCCATGTTCAATATCTGGTGGTTTGTGATGAACTGGGTTCCTTGTGGCCACTGTAAGTGTTGGCGTGGGGCACTTTGGGGTCAGCATGAGCAGAGTGCTGAGTGGGAGGCATTCAGAAGATGTGCTGTTTGTGTAGATTTCTGGTCAAGCTTTTGAGCTTTGTGTCTGAGTTGATTTTAATGCTGTATAGTGGGGCTCATGTGCGCAGAACATTTGTGTTGTTAGTGAACATCCCTTGCTGATGGAATAGGTAAGGCAGATGCCAGCCTAGACTGTATTAAGAAACAAGGACAGCCTTATGCATCCCAGAGGTGGTCATTCCTTGCCCTTGCTTGGTGGGCGGCCCTGCCAGGCAGACCTAGAAGGTTCATTCACACCATGCAGCGAGTACCCAGGGGCACAGCTGATTGTGAAATACAGCCTTGGGTACATGGTAAGTCAGGAAGTCTCTGCATCATCTAAGGAGTTGTGTTTACCAGAGTGGCTTCCTTGACATGTATCAACATTTGATATCAGTTCTCTGAGGATGGAAAGCTTGTAGTGTAGTCTCATAGTTTTCAGAAATTAAGATGTCACCTTTAGGTTCAACGTGGGGGTTTTGACAAGCAGCTCAGTTGCTTCATTTATTTATTTATTTATTTTTGAAGGATTTGACTTGAGAACTTTTGGGTCTACTCATGGATTTTTTTAAAAAAATTTTTTTCTTAGGATTGCACTACCCTGGATTAACTCTCAACTATGGCTCCCAGAGCCATGAGGTTTTAGAACTAGAAGGGACTTCCCAAATACAGCTCCTTTGGGCTTAGGAAACTGAAACCCTTGTAGAGTAGGTTGTGCCCCTTCCCTGTGTAATGTTTTCACCCCATTGCACCTTGTCACTGTGGATTAACTGACCACTTCAAATAGAGACAACCCTCCTTCCATTTAAAGGGTACTTGAATGGATAACCAGCCCTGCCTGGCCCACAGGAAACTGGACCAGAGAATGGACATAACTCATCCAGGTTCTGGGGTCGGTTTCTGTCACAGTGACATAGAACAAAGTATTGCTGGCTACCGGCATTGTGCTCCTCCAGCCTCATGTGGGAAAGGCAGTAGCTTGGTCTCATTGTCCAGGGTCAAGGGGACAGAGTCTGTAAAACACCAGTAGCACTACAGGAAACAAAATTCATGTGGTGAGATGGGTCTCGTCCCTAAGGACCTAACTCTGGCCTCTGTTACAAACCGTGACCTGAGCACTGTAGTCCTGGGAAGTAATTAGAAGGTGATTCCAAAGCCTCTCCAGCCCTCAGCACGTGTGGAAACAGCCTGCTTCCAGCATGTTGCCCCTCAGCATTCTTCCCCCAGCCTTCAGGATAACATGTCCAGGGCAGTTGGGCACGGAATATAGTAGCAGTTGCCTCTGGGAGCTGGAGGAGCCTGGCGGCCAAGCCTGCAGGTGCCAGTTAGGGCATGTGGAATCACAGCTGCTGCCAGATGCTCTCCTCACTGCTCTGCTGAGCCCTGGCCTAAGGCGTCCTGGTGGCTCTCTGCTCATGCAAAGGTGAATTATGTTACATATCCAGGCAGTGCTTATGGCTGCAGTGTTGACCAGCTCTGTTCAAAGGCATCTTTCTCATCCAGAAAATGTCTGGGATTTCTTTTCATTTGTTGTATATAAAATGCCAATACAGTCACCTTCCAAATCATCTCTGTTCTTGCAGCTTATTTTGGTGCCACGCTTAACAGCTTCATCCACGTCCTCATGTACTCGTACTACGGCCTGTCGTCTATCCCTTCCATGCGTCCATACCTCTGGTGGAAGAAGTACATCACTCAGGGGCAGCTGGTGAGTGACCTGGCCTCTTTGCCGTGGACAGCACGCCTCTTCCTGGGTGGCTTGGTGTCTAATAGGATCTGACATGTCCCTTCCATACCTTTCCTCCTTGAAATAGGCAGAGTGTTCTTATTTTAGCCGATGGAGAAACTGTCCCCATGGTCATATGGCTGGTTGAATTGTAGAATGTCCCAAGTTCCTTTCTTTGTTCTTAGTGTTAATGGGCACATACGTGCATGCATGTGCACAAGTATGCATTTCTTTTTTTTTTTAATTGAGTTTATTGGTACATTCTAGGTAGACAGTACAGTTACATTCATTACTGGGATCAAGTATGCATTTCTTTTTTTTTTTAATTGAGTTTATTGGTACATTCTAGGTAGACAGTACAGTTACATTCATTACTGGGATCAAGTATGCATTTCTAACTGTAGTCCAGAGCCCAGGCTGGAGACTGCCTGCTCCCAGGCATTCCGGCAGAGCTGTGGGCTCCAGGCTGTGTGGCGCTCGTTAGGCAGTGAGGAGGTTTGCTCACACAGGTGCCCAGTGACCTCCCCACTACACGCAGCAGTCTCCTGTTGGTGAGCACCGCCCCCTGCTTCAGATGACAGCCCCTCCTTGGGTCCGGGGATGAGCCAGCAGCTGTTTGCACTTGACGGTTATATCGCACCAACCTCACTCCTTCCCTTCTTTCCTTCTTTCCAACATCAGGGATTGAATGCACAATCTTAGCACTTTGCTTCATCCTCCAGTACACACCCACTTTAAAAAAATGTGGTTGGTTTGTTTGTTTTGAGACAGAGTCTTGCTAAATTGCATAGGTTGGGCTGAAACCTGTGATCCTCCTGTCTCAGCCTCCCAAATTCTGGGGTTACAGGCATGTGCTGCCACCCTTTTTACCAGTGTTTCTTCGGGCTTTCCTCATTGCCATTTGCCAGTAGAATACAGATCCCCTAGTCCTCTCATGACTTTTTTCACGGGCTTATTGTTAATATTGGTACTGCTTATGACCCTGACATTAAATGCCTACTGTCTGCCGGGACCTTCTGCCATGGAAGTGACTGTACGTGAATTGCTGTGGGTTGCTGTGGGAGTCAGATGTCCCCACTTTGTACATGAGTTGAGAGCCCACAACTAGCTGACTGAGAGGTGTAGACATCAAGCCCTCAGCACTGACTTAGCCTTCTTGACACAGTTTTCCAAACTCATCAAGCGGATTCCAGTCCTACAAGTCAGTGTTTAAAATTGAACTATTTCAAAATAACAATCTGAGAAAATCCTCAGCTCCCCCGTGTGCTTGTCATTGTCACCCCTGCCAGCTACTCTACACCCTGATGCCCCGCCCCACCGTGAGCTGGGGTGATTGCGCCTGCCTGCAGAGGTGCGATGTGGAGGCTGAGTCACGCCACACCGCTGCGGCTCTGGCCCACAGGCGCAAGAGCCCAGCCTGGCCAGCGTGGTCTCCATGTACTCGAGGTAGAAGACTGCGCCCAGTCTGTCTGGGTTTGTTGGAAACTCCACTCCTAGTTAATCCTAAGCTGAGGGCACCTTAAAAAAGGAAGGGACGAGAGGAAGACACCATCTATATGGAAACGTCGGAGGCTGCCAGAAATCCTCAGGCAGAGCAACACTTCTGTGCTTCTTCCCGAAGATGTGTTTGCCAGTGGTCAGATGCCATCTTCCCACCTTCTCCCAGTGTCTCCGGCACTTCCACCTGCTTTTGAGGGTTGCTGCTCAGGAACGTCCTGTGGACTTACCACTGTCATTAGCCAAGAGGAGCTGCAGTCTGTTCATCACCTTTTCCAAACCAAAGGTGCAGGGATAAGGAACAGGAGGAGTGTCCATCTGATCATACCTCTCGCGGCAACACCAGGAGTCCCCTCTGCACCCACACCTTTACCCTGCCCTCTTCTTTTAAAGAAAAATGATCAGAAAGAGTCCTTGTGTGTCTGTGCTGTGTCCTTGAGTTGAGCAGTGGCTGAAGCAGCCGGAACATAGAGTTTAGGAGAAACAGCGCAGGCACTGTGTTTATGAGATGGCACCTGTACCCACAGAAAGAGAGGAAACTGGGTTCACTGTCCGTGTGGCATGAGTCTGTACCTGTGCACGTCACTGCTCAGTGATGTCCTCTTCCCTAGATCCAGTTTGTGCTGACAATCATCCAGACCACCTGCGGGGTCATCTGGCCTTGCACGTTCCCACTGGGGTGGCTGTATTTCCAGATTGGATACATGATTTCCCTCATCATTCTCTTCACAAACTTCTACAATGAGGTGAGTGTCCCTTAGCAGGCTTTGGTGCTTGGGGCCTTTCTGACAGAGGCACTTGTCATTCTGCCTTCTGGGCATGAGTTCTGAGGGGGCTTCTGTGGGGCCAGAAAGGGGGTTCTGTCTGTTCTTTACCCTGGCAGAGGTATCATAAATCATACTGGAAAAGCAGGACGCCATGCTGCTCTCTGCAACCTGTGCCACACATGAGAGGGGTTTTTTTCAGTGAGAAATTTCTGCCTGTCTTAAACATCGTAGAGGAGGCTTCAGAAAAGATTTATGTCACAGTCTTGGGGCAGAAATCTACCTTTCTATCCCAGTTTTCTTACTCCTGTTCAAGACTAGAGGTGCAGCTCCTTCCCATGATGGGATGACGTAGGTTTTTACTCACAGAAGGGCAAATTTGGGGCAGGAAACTGACCCCTTAGCACCCAGTGATGTGCGCTCTTGATTTTGTGTCCTGGTAGCTGTGCTGCCCACTGACCTGGGCAGATGCCGGATCAGGAGCTAGTATAGAGGCCACAGGGGACAAAAGGACAGGAAAGCCCCAGGGTAGGTGAGCAGCCTCCTGGGGCTCAGGCTCCCTGCTCTCTTCTGTGCTCGGTGTACTGCGTGCAGCTCGTGTCCTGCTGGTTGTTATCGATTATGAATCCACCACAGAGCATACATCAGCTACAAGGGAGGTTCGAAGGTAGGCAGGGCTCTTCTCTGATTGCCTGTAGCAGCGCGGCACTCTGAGTGTGAGGGCTTCAGTAGCCACCAGGGTGATGGGAAAGCCTGGAAGATGTGTGTAGGATGCAGTGTGGGGAGAGCTGTGGCCTGGGAGAAGCGCCTGCTTTGGCCCATAGCTGCTGTGCCTTGCCATTCCAGTACTGAGCAGGCCAAGCGGAGTGTGAGCGCATTTTCTGGATGCCATTTTTTTTCATCTTGGGCTGAGCCTCAGAAAATGGGAGTGTGATTGAAGCCAGGGCCAACTTGTCTATTCAAGGTTACTTGGCCACACAGCTGAGTTCTTTCTTGATAAGTTTGGCTTGAAAAAGGAAACCAGACCTTAAGTCATACAAGCTGCTCTGTGTGCTCAAGGCTTCATCTGCCCTTCTGTGTTTCAGACTTACAACAAGAAGGGGTCCTCCCGGTGGAAAGACCACCCAAGGGGCCACCAGAACGGCTCTGTGGCCACTGTGAACGGGCACAGCAGCAGCTTCTCCTCCCTGGAAAACAATGTGAAGCCAAGGAAGCAGCGGAAGGACTGAGCGGCGGGGCCGAACCCTCCACGCGCCTGTGATTGTAAGCACAACGCGTTGTGCTCGACACTCCTTAGCAGCTGCTGTAGTAGTCCGGCCTACAATAGTGTGATTCGTGTAGGGCCTCCTCCATCCGTTCACACCCGAATGCGTACACCAGTTACCCACGTAGGCTAAAAGATTTCTCACATTTCTGGGCTGTCATTGACCCCCCGCACTAGACTATGGAAAGGGAGTATTATTGTAGTATATGACACTGCTGTTGCCTTATTAGTTATAACATGATAGGTGCTGAATTGTGATTCACAATTTAAAAACACTGTAATCCAAAATTTTTTTTAACTGTAGACCATGCATGTGATTGTAAATGTAAATTTGTACAATGTTGTTACAGTAGAGAAACACTCATGCCTTAAAATTTAAAAAGCAGGGCCCAAAGCTTATTAGTTTAAATTAGGATATGTTTCAAGTTTGTATTCATTTGTAATAGCTCTGTTTAGAAAAATCAAATATTGAGATTTATGAAATTAGCGTGTGACACATAATTTCAAGTGACTTACAGATGTGAAATCAGAAACGGCACCTTCAGTTTTATAATACTGGCTTTCAATCAAGCAGGCTCAAATCTAGTGGAGCAGTCAGTTTAACTTTTTAACAGATCTTATTTTTTTATTTTGAGTGCCATGATTAATAATGTAAAAGGGGGGACTCCAAAACAGGCTTGATGAAACTTAAATATATATTCTTTGTCCTCGAGATTTTAGGAAGAGTGTAGGTAAGTAGGCCATTTTTGATTTCCGAAGTGTTAAGTGTTTTTATACAAGAAACAAGTCCATTTTGCTTTCCACCAGTGTGAAAGAGAATGTCATTTTAAACAGAGATGATTGCATATTTCCCATTTGACAGGAGTCCTATGTCCTAGCCATGGAGAGCCACCTGCTAAGGCCCTGCATCTGAATTGGTTCCTGTAATGCTATCTGTTTTGACACAAACTTCCTTCTAAATGTGCCTAGTTTACTAAAGCTAGTAAAGGCGGGGGAAGAACCCTAAAAATTTAAGATAAAATTAAACAGATGGCAACAGCATAAGAGAACTTGGAAATTGGATAGCAATAGGTAACTTGTTTAATGGAAATCTAATAGCACCTGTGATTTTTTTTTTTTTTGCTTAGAACCTAAAGATTTGTTTAAAACCACTTGTTAAAAAATAATAGACTACTTATTATAAAATCATGTCTCACACCCTCAAAGTGAGTGGTCAAATAAGGACTATTATGTGTGTCATTTTATTCAAGTGTTGAAATTTAGCCTCTTAAAACCTTCTCCATTGGGAAACAGAATTCATTGAACCACTCATGACATCTTAGAAGGTCATCGACAATGTATAAACTAATTGTGGGTTTGATATTTATGTAAATATCTGTTTACCATGCTTTAATTTTGCACATTCATATTAAAGAGAGCCTGTCGGTTCTCTACTGTTTGGAAGGAGTCACAGCGTCTGTTTACATGGACCTTATAACTCTAGACTGTGTGTAATGTGTGTCTCTCCATCCCTAGGTACTAGTTCGCAGATGTCTTTACCTATTCCATGCAGAAGCGATAACATTCAGTAGTGTGCCATCAGAGTGTGCTTAGCTCATGTGGATATACCTACACTGTTAAATGATGTCTAAATATTAATCATTAAAACATTTTTGATTACCGGTGCTTATGTTCTACATTGTTTATATGCTGCTGCTTCTGAAAGGTTGGAGGAAAAAAACCCACTCTCTTCACCCTCTAGGAATTTAAGACATAAGTAATTCAGACACAAGGCTCTTTCCCCAGGGACCACAGGTCCACGCATTTTTCTGTAAAAGTCAGACAGAAAACATTTTAGGTTTTGCATCCCACCTGGCCTTCATCAGGTCTCTGGCACAGATATTCATTGTAATACAAAAACAGCCTTAGGCAATATGTAAATGAACGGGCAGGGCTGTGTTCCAATAAAACTTTATTAGAAAATGAAGTCCTGTGACCTCAGTGCTCTGGCCTATGCTTTGGAGTCCTGTGCTTGAGGTCCCTCCTTGGTCCCAAAGCTCTATCACTTTCTGTCCCAGATTCTGGCCTCCCCAGCCTCTTGCAAGCCATTGACTTCTTAGCCGACCCATGTTCACAGCAAGCATAGCATGAGTCCCGTCTACTGCCCTTCTCCTAATACTGTCCAGTCCTGGTGTGGGCTTGATACTTTCGGATGTCTTCATTTGTAAACATCACCTTAAAATGCCACCAGACGCTGCACTGAATATTGAGAGCATCATAAGGTGCAAGAGGATCTTTCCCAAGTCTAGGACAAATTGAAAAAATAAGACTTAAAAATCAGAGCAATAGAAATCAAAAGTCACACATTTCTTACTTCAAAGACTGGATTAGTGAAATAAGACTGTGATACAGTTCTTTAATGGTCCTAACTGGTGCTAGAACTGAGCTTACTAGGGCTGGTACTGGCATCCCAGTGACGGTTCTGCTGTTGTCCGGGGATGAACTGGTTAGTTTGGTGTTTGAAAAATTATCCCTGGAATTTATAGAGGCTCCCTGTAGTTCACACTCTTCCTGCTGGTTTACTGCAGCAATTAGCAAGCTCAGTTCATGGCCCGATCTTACCCACCACAGTCTCCTGCCCACTGAGGCTTGAGTAGAAGAGGCCACAGACAAGGCTGGGCATGTTCCTACACATCACCCTTCCTGGGCAAAGGATGAGTTTACTGGTACAAAAAAAGAAGGATTCTCCTTTTCCCCTGTTGGAACATTTGAGAAGCACAAGTTGGGGACCACATTGCCTGAGCTGAAATTCTTCCCATGTGACTTGAATGCAGTACTTTAACTTTCCCTTGTTTATCTGCCTCACAGGAGGAAATATCAGTCCCTACATTACAGGGCCATTCCATGTATGAAGTCCCGAGGGCCACACCTAGCGTAGACTAGACTGCTGGCTCCAAATACTGGCAGTGGTCTCAGGGCATGCACTCTTCTCCTTTGTCTGCTACTCTTTTCCTCGTATTCCCGGTTGGCTGCTGTGGCAGTCCTGTCTTAGAGAAGGGAGTTGGTCTGGGGTTGTGGCATTTCACTTGGTGAATCAGAAATCAGCAATCCTTAGGGGTCCAAATGTTTACAATCTACATTGTAGATTTTGCCAGTTTTACATTAAGTTCACCTGTCTGGGGTTTCTTAGAATCCACTTTCTTCTCTGGAAAGCAGTGGGGATTGTTAGGCTCTGGTCTTCTGGTGTTGGTCATTTCTGCAGGGTTCTGATAGTGGCTCTGTGCTCTCTTGCAGCTTTTTCTATGCCTGAGACCCCTTCCGTGTGAAGAGGAACACCTATGCCCTCCCCAGTCTTTGACTTCACACCCAACCATACTTTTCTCCACACTCAGTTTGGAGATGATGGTCCTTGATGGAGAAATAGGAACAAAATTGGTTGCTGTAGTTTGTTTTCTGATTTTCATCATTGTACCATTGTAGTAGTATCTAGCCATGAGTTCTTACTCCAGACATAGATTTAAAACTCATGTTTAGAAAGAACAAAAAACTGTATTTGAGCTCAGCCCTGTGGTACATTCCTGTAATTTCAGCTACTTGGGAGGCTGAGGCAGGAAGATGGTGAGTTCAAACCCAGGATGGGCAACTTATCCTGAGCCTATATATGAGGCTCAGGTTTCTCCCCACAGACCTACAGGCCCACCTCAACTTTGCTTCTGAGCTTTATTTCTCATTCTCCACCACGTTTAAGGAGAATTTCCGGGGCCCATCTTTACTGTAGCTGGCTGAGGAATTTGAACTTGGCCCTCATCAAGGTTATGGAAAACTTCAGGATTGAAGTCACAGGAATGAGCAGTGTGGGGTCTGTTGAACTGGTAATCAGTGCTCACAGAGATCCCATTGTTTACCTAATGGTAATTGTTCCTTTCTCGGGTAACCTGGAAATGGTGGTTACTCTTCCATGCCTTGCCGTGGATGTTGCTGTCACCAGGCCTTTGTAGAATGCTTGGAGGAGAGTGCTTGGTGCGAAGGACTGAGCTAGGCATGTGCACTGAGCAAACATCTGAAGAAATGCCACATGCCATGGCACACGCCTGTGATCCCGTCACTTGGGAGGCTGAGGAAAGAGGATCACCAAGAGCTCAGCCTGGACTACGTAGTGAGTTCAAGCCCAGCCTGCACTGCACAGTGAGACCCTGTCTCGAGAAAACAAAAAAAATGATTTCAGTCCCCAGGGAGTGGTTGCTAACTTGGAATCACACACACAGAAGGCGTGGGGCACAGGACAGCTTGTGGCAAGTGCCATGAGGTTCATGTGAGCCAACCTCTGCATCAAGGAGGAGTGGGGAGGGAATGGCTGTGAGCCAGAACCTGCTTCTCAGCTCTTCTACTGGGGCCAGAGAATTTTTCCTCCCGAGATGCCCTGGAAGTTTGAACCCTTGAGGGACCTGCAGCAATGGTTTGGAGGCATCTTTAAAACTAGCTGACTTCCAGGTTGACTACTAAAACAAAATGTTGAAGCAACTTCGCCAGCCCACTGCTGGCATCCTTGATTTAAATCACAGGCATCAGTGTGGGTTTCCCTTGACTGATGAAGTCAGTGCTTTAACCATTTTAGCAAGTTGTGTGCCTGACCCTTGGCAAGGCTCCCGATGCATTCATTGTATGTCCATTGCTGCTAAACATCGGCTCCAGGTTCCGGCACCTTGTGCCCTCTTCCCCCTTGGGCATCGCTGCTGTCTGCTGTCTCAGTCCTGCAGGAAGGCTGTGTAGCCAGTTGATCAGACCCCGCCAGCCTGCTCCTGAAGCTGTTCTTGCTCAGTGCTGGCCTCGGCTCTAGGAGCGCTGGGGTAGCTTATGTGGTCTTGGAGACAAGTGTTTTCTTCACCGCCTTCCCACTCTCCAACAGACTCACTCTGGCTCGAGGGTGCTCTAGGCAGGATCCCAGGGCACCATGCACCCAAGGTCAGGACTCCAAGGCACTTTGCTGCCCATGACTGGGGCTGGCCACCGCCTTCCCCACACACCATTTTGCTAGGAAAGCTCACCAGAGGTCACATGGCTCCCCTGCTCCAAAGCTGGCACCAGTGACAACTGCCCCTGTATGGGAAAATGCCACGGAAAGTCACCCTCAGTAGCACCTCCAGGCCCCACCAAGCTGCACCACGTGCATTCCTGCTGGCATCTCCTCCTGCAGGGCTGTGGCCTTCCTAAGTGACATCCATGTGGATTTGTTCAGAAAGTGAGGATGTGCAGTCCATGACTGAGAAAGACGCATATGAGGAGAATCAAATGCCCAAGTATTAAAGTATCTGATTTAAATCTTTGGAATGTCTTTATTGGGATGCATGTGCATTTTAAGGGATTCATATTCACTGTGTGATGTGTGATGATTGAAGCAGGCTAATAAGCAGTTCCATCTCTTGCAATGTAGACCATTTTTATACTTCGGGAATTTTGTACTTTTAAAAATTTGAAATATAAATTGGTGCAACCAAAAGTTACCCTGCTGCACTATAGAGAACAGAACGAATTCCTCCCTCCTCACCTGTCCCTCCCATCTGAAGTGATTGCTCTTCTACTCTGCTCTTCTATGAGATCCACTTTTTAGTTTCCACACATAGCTTATTTCACCTCCCGTCCTAGCTGTGTTGTTGCAAATGAGTTTTATTTCATAGCTGAATAATATACTACTGTGTCGATACACCACATTTTCTTTATCCAATCTCTCGTCAACAGACACCTTATTATTCCCTATCTTAGCAACAGTAAATATGGACATGAAAGTACCTGGCATTCTGGCTCCAGTTCCTTTAGATGAATTCTTGGGAGTGGGATTGTTTAGTTCTACTTTCAGTTTTTGAAGGCATCTCCATATTGTTTGCCACTATGCCTGTACTGAATCACACTGCGCACCAGCAGTGTCTAAGAGTTGTACTTTCTCTCCATCCTTCCTGTATTTATAATATTTACCTTTTTTTCACATTCAGCTACATCCCCAGCCCTTTTAAAAATCGTTATTTTTTCTTGTTTCTCTTTTTTTTTCCATTAAGTTTATGGGTACATTTTAGGTATAAAATACAGTTACATTCATCATTGGGATTTTGTACCTTTACATGACTTATCTTGGTTCTTATTTTTCCCCATGCCCCTTCCCTCCCTTCGTCCTCTCCACCCTTCCCTATTTACAAAGACTTTGCTTCCATTTTTTTTCTTTTCTCATATTTTTTTCTTTTCCCTTCTTACATTTCCCCACCCCTCCCACTTCCCCTACTCCTTTAGACCTTTTCTTCCTATCATACAATATCAATTCTGCATTTTGATCCTTATTTACACTTTTTTTACACCAGAGAAACTTCAGTATTTACACGTGTGTCCTATTTCACTTAAGAGTATGGCCTTGATGTGTACCCACTTTGCTATAAATGTCTCTAGTTTCTCATTTTCTTTGGCTGACTGGTACTCCATTTTTGTTTTTTTTTTAAATCTATCTAGTCTCCAGTTGATGGGCAATTGGGCTGTGCCCAAGCTTTAGCTATTACAAACTGTGCCACTATAAACATAGGTGTGCATATATCACTGTCGTATGATTCTTTTAATTCTTTTGGAAAGATACCCAGCAGAAGAACAGCTAGGTCAAATGGGATCTCTAATCCTAGTTGTTTGAGGTTTCTCCATATTGATTTCCA